TAGTAGCAAATGGAGTTCTAATAAATGTCTATGGCTTATTATTGTTTAGGTCCTTTACTTCCCAAAAGATCTGAGTTCGTTAAGCACTATTCTTTTTAAGCAAAATTTGGAGACTGCATTAAATATGGTCAAATTTGAGAGAAAAAAATAGGGCTGTGAAATTAAGGAGATTTGTCATTGTATCCAGTGGCTCTTTTACTTTAATTTTGGAAAATAAAATGAGGGAGATTGAAAAGGGAATAGGGATTGCTATTTTGAGAGAGCTTCACTATTTTCCAGGAAGATACATGGAATTTTATATATCTTCTTGCTGTATACTTATATGCAAGCAAATTTCTTGAGCAAAGCTTGATTCTGAAAAAAGAATGCATGTAGGAGAGGTAGTACACCAGGTAAGCACTTGCCTTGCACATGGTCTACCCAAGTTTGATCCCCAGCATCCTAGTTCCCACCAGGAGTAATCACTGAATGCAGAGCCAGGAATAAGCTTTGAGCACAGGTGGGTTTGGACCCCGAAAGGAAACAAAATAGGCTGGGGCAATAGTACAATTGGTAGTATGCTTACTTTGCCTGTGATGGTCCTGGGTTTGATCCCCAGCATCCCATATGTGGTCCCCTGAGCCGACCAAGAGTGATTCCTGAGTACAGAGCTAGGAGTAACCCCTGAATACTGCTGTGTGTGGCTCAAAAGTAAAAAAAAAATAAAAAGGGGTGCATCTAAGAGCTTTAAAGTGTTTTAGTGAAACTCAGTTTAACAAAAAGGCGAGATGGAGGACTTTTTAGGATTTCTAAAAGTTGTAGTGATCAGTAGCTAAATTCTATAGTTGAAGGTTATTAGTATTATTCAGATGTTTGAAAAACTGTAAAACTCCAATTTTCTGACTACAGGAATAGTATTCTTTATTCAAAAGATGAAATGTGGACTTGAAATATTTGAGTGTTGCATGCATAAATAGTTATCACCTATGTTGTTGAATGTCTGCTTTGATTATAAAGTACTTGATTATTTGGATGAACATTTTCTTAAGTTTTTTCCCCTTATATATCTATGAGCTTTCATTTAAAAAATACTGTTTTTGAAAAACTAAGAGTAAGAAGGATTATTTTTCTTTTAGTTTTTGCAATGCTCAGGGGTTATTCCTGGATCTATACTCAGGAATCACTCCTGGAGCTCTCAGGGACCATATGAGATGCTGGGGCTAAACCTGGGTTGACTGCATCAAGGTTAGTGACTTACCTGGTATACTATCTCGCTTGCTCCAAAAAAGGCAATTTTAATGAAATTATGAAGGTAATGCTCTAAGGGTTTCTTTCCTAAGCCTTCAGTAAAGAGTTATGTGATTTGGGGCAAAGACATTAAACCCTCTGAGTCTCAGTTTCTTTACAGCAAAATGAGCATATTATATTAGCTATTAAAGATCCTCTTCAAATATAAAATTCTATTATTATATAATAACATCTTTCTTTATTCCCTATCCTGAAGCTGTGTAATAATATTATTAATAATTTTTTTAAAAAAATAACTTATTATGACCTAGAGATAACTGAACATTATAGCAAACAATCTTGAAAATTATGAAATACAGGTCACCCAGCATGGTTCACGGTTCTTCCCTACAAATAATGAGGGTCAGTATTTTATCTTTGCATCTTGTGTTAATGACCTCTAAAGAGCATCCTGGAGATCAACTTCCAGGTCAAGTTAAAAAAGCACTTTGAGTTCATCCTGCTACTTTTCTCTCCTCTGGCATCACCTACTTTCTTGATATTAGGTTTTGATTTCTTTTTCATTTGTGGCTTGGGGAATATTGATAATCAGATCCTACTTCTGGGTATCTAGCAAGATACCACTTTATCAGAAGAGAGGCAGGAAGCAAGCCACTAAGCTCTGCACAGGACCTATATTGAGATGCTAAATGGTGAAGCCTTTCCAAGCATCCCTTGCTAAGCCAGTATCAGAAAGCTGTATCTTTGACAGTGCTGTTGACAAGATGTGCTGATTTACTGTCTCGTGTTTACCTGCTTTCCTTAGTTTTATGTACCAAGGAGTGATCCATGAGTGACCAAAGTGTCAGAGTCAGCTCTACCTGAAACATTTTAGCTGACTGCCTCCAGATGGACTAGAGCTACATTATTATAAATTATTCTTTTGGGATACTGAGACTAGACACAGAGACTTATTTTTTTTTTTTGCTTCTCTATTTTTTTTTGTTGATCTCTTTCATATTCCCCAAACACATACCTTATCTATGACCATCTTTAGAGGCTGCTAATTAAGTAGTAACAGTATACTTGCAGGAGTGTTTTCAAAACTCATTATAAAAATCTTTCTTACCAACTTAGTTCCTTTCCAAGAAATTTTACAGTGCAGCAACATTACATAGGAATTCTACATCAGAAAAATTTCAAGAGGAGATATAAAACATCAAATACATTTATAGCCAAAAAAAAGCAGTAGGTATGAAACAGAGCAAAGAAATAATGAAGTACTGCTAATGAATCATAAGCTTATCACCTTTTTTTGTTATATAAATCCCTAATTTGCTGGTCTAGAAAGCTGGTGACACTGTTTGTTAAAGCCATTCACAGCAACAACAAGAGTCAAAGAAAAATTCCACCTACTCATCAGCATTCAAACTCAGTGTGTCCCCTGTAACAAGCAACACCCTGAAAAGATGGTCCTGTGAAGCTTGTCTTGCCAGAAAGCTATTATTTCTGTTATAGCTACATGATTGGAGGAGACTGTGGCTAAGTCTTTCAGGCATACTGTATGTCCATTATCTGGCATTGATAGATGCAGATCAGATCACTAAACTCACCAGCATACGCTGAATGACTATAGCAGGGGCCTGGGGTGACTGTATTTCTCAGACTCATGTGGGCACATTATTGATCTCTGTAATCCACAAAATATGTATTTGAGCTTTACTTAGGTTAGAGAGTGAATCCTCTCTTCTTAGATAGCATTGATTGCAATTTTAAGATAGTCTGGGTAGGGTTTAAGATCGTATATGTTTGGTATAAAAAGTTTCCCTGGAAAAGGTCTACGAGAAACTGAAATCAATACTGCAATGCTACATTATACAGGAGTTAGGAATCGGGAGGTTGAATATCTACTGCAAGCTTTTCCGCTTGGTTAGAACTTAGGAGGTGTCTGAAAAATACCAGATTTCTGTGCTGTGACAAAAGCAGCACCTTTAATGAAAAGAAGGAAAGGAAATAAAACACCTTTTCTTCTTTGTAATAAATCATTTTGTTTTTTCTATAGATTGCATGTGGCGTTTGAGGCAGAGAGAGCAAGCTTGCCAATATTGCAAGCTAATGCTTCAGCATGGTTCATTTTTCACTCTGAGCAGGAAACCTCTTCTTAAACTTGTTCATTTTACAGAGGGAAAATCGAAGCGAGTGGCATATTGTCAGGGCTGCCTTATTGTCATCTTTTACAAAGGTTGCTGAAATTAATTGACTACTTACATTACCTATTGTAAAATGACTCATTTAAAAATATATTTATGGGAAAGTAGCAGGATCTAAGTGACTAGTCATTGTCTTTTGCTTTAGGCTATTATAAACTAGGAAACAAATAATAACTCCAAAATCACAGGGGTGAGGAAAATAACATACAGTTTGAAAGAAGAAACAGACTCCATTAACTATGTGGCTAGCTGAACTAAAGAAAGAAAAGAGAGCTCCAGAGAATGAAATGTAAATACTAGGTTCATTTCAGTGTCTTTAAAGGACCTATTAAAAGGTATGGTGAATCTTTTCAAAAATATTCTCAGTTTATGTCGTCTATTAGCTAAGTATTTCCTTTTACGATACTGAAAGTGTAAATTAACCCATACTGTAGTCCATGAATCATTGCTACATGCATGAACATAGTTTACTGAGTTATTCTTTCTCAAAGGCACTGCTTCTGAAACTAAACAGGAGAAATGTAAGATGTGAGTAATATTTTTACAACCACCACACTATTTTCTAGGTGGAGATTTTGAGTCCTTCTTCCCTTTTTTTCTTTTTCATCTTACTTCCTTTTCACTGAATAAGGAAGATTCTACTAATTTTCGTAGCTACTCTCCCTAACATTAGAAGCATGGAAACAAGGACATATTGTTAAAAATGAATAAATTACAGGCAAATTAAGCCATCTAGCCCAATAGCAGCAAAAGGAATGCAGTAGTTGATTTGAACAGTCTTCTTAAAAAGGAAGTGTACTTTAAAACCATCCTGCTGTGATCCTGTTAATTACCAAAGAAGCATAGAACTCTTCTGGTTCATGGGATCCTGTTACCTAGCGTGTGTGGGGTCCACCTGCATTAGCAATCAGACGTTTGCACTGTCCCTTCAGACCAGAGAGGGGTTATTATTAAAGAGAAGTCATTTACCCCAATCTGTGAGATGTACTCTGGCAGAAATTCAATAACTGTTTGTGATATGCTCATTCCACCGCTCTGTTTAGTGGCTTAATCGCTTGTCATAGAGCAGCATTTGCCTTAATCTCCATCCACCAGATGAGAAACGAAGAGAACGCCTCATTTGGGGGCTTGGTCGCAAAACACAGAATCATGTAGGGGTCTGGTTTTTCATCACAAACAACGTGAAGAAAGAGGAAAATTCCTGCCCCCCCCACCCCCTTCTCCTTTCCTCTTCTCTCCCACTGTCCCCTTCTCTCCTCTCTATCCCTCCTCTCTCTCCTCCCCCACTAACACTGCCTTTTTCTCTCCCACTCACATCCTCTGATGGGCATTCAAGCTAGTAAAATGCATGTTGGAGAATCCCACAAACACAGCTCAGCATACACAGAGCCAGAGGGCTTTTGCCTTTGAATTTCTTCTCCAAAGTAAAAGGGAAACAAACAAATGCTCTTACAATTCATACCGAAAAAAAAAAAAACATCAAAGGAGCATTTAGAGATTAAAGAAAAAAAAAAATGAATGCCAACCGAAAAAGAACTAGAATCTATTTTAATTGAAATGCTGAAATGCATATTTGAAACTTACCTTGCAAAAGCAGTTTCTGTGGAACACCTCCTTCTGTGTCTCTGCCTGCTGGATCCCTCAGTCCCTTAGTTGCGATAATCACATGGTTGTGCTCTTGCCTGGGTGGAAATAGGTGCATATGTGTGTGTGTGTGTGTAATCAAGTATACACGAATGTGTACTATAGATATGCACACACGCAAGCAAGCTTAGCTTTGCATTTTAAAATGTAAAGGCAGGCACGAGACGGCCGTGGGATTCCTTCTTTTTCTCCCGGAACTCTCTCAGTCGCAGGCTGAGGCTCTCAATCCAATGAAGAGAGATCCGGCGAGCTAGCTTTATTTCTCCTTGTTTCCATGGTGGTTAGTGGTGCATCGTTCACCCGATCAGTTGTCACACTGACATGGTGCTGCCTGCTCAGCGGTCATTAATAACTGAACACCCTCCACTCCCCAGAGAGGAGCCAATCGCTTCGGACTGCCAAGATGTAACACTCGCAGCTGCTCCCGTCTGGTTGGCTGAAACAACCTGTCTGTTCTATGACACTGCTGCTTAGGATACAAATAAATGAAACAGGCTTGCATATTTTCATAGGTCTGTCTTCCTTCCTTCCTTCCTTCCTTCCTTCCTTCCTTCCTTCCTTCCTTCCTTCCTTCCTTCCTTCCTTCCTTCCTTCCTTCCTTCCTCCGTTCCTCCCTCCTCCCTTTCTTTTCCCTCTCTCTTTCCCTCCCTTCCCTCTTTTTTCTTTTTAAGGGAGAGGATATAGAGAGGATTTTTAAAACAAGTTTCACAGTTTGTCCCCCAACCCCTGCTTTTGGAAATAGCAAGACACGCTACAGATAAAGTTTCCCCGATATTTGAAACACCTCAGAGGGATGCACAGACTTCTACTCCCTCCTTATAAAGTTCACCAATAGTACGATTTAAAAGCAGCCTGTAACTATTTTGAATTACGTTTCATTTTATATAGGTCTACTTAATACATGTACTTGCTATTCAATAACACTTGAAACAAAACCAGTGACATTTAAAAAAAAATCTTGGATGACCAGATTTTTAAAGAAAATTATATATTTGCTTCTCTGTAATTTACAACATTGGCATATGAAGGGATATTTTTAAAAATATGTTTTCCCAATTATGTTCACTTCTCCTTATGTGATGCAATTAATCTGCCAACCATATATGAATGGGTGTGTGTGTGTGTGTGTGTGTGTGTGTGTGTGTGTGTGTGTGTGTGTGAGTGTGATGTATATATCACTCCTCTGGGACAATACTTCAATTTTAGTAAACCATCAAAGCTATTAGGCTGTAAGATTGTATACTTTTAATTTATATTTACCAGGAAAATATACTGCAGTACAGCATATGTAAAGCATTTGGAAATGAAATGTAAAAAAGTAGAGCAATGTATATATTTGAAAGAACACTTGTAAGTAAATAGAAGTTTTTAAAATATGTTAAGGATGTTATTATGATGTTTTATAAAAAGTTTTTAAAATATTAAGTTTTTAAAATTAATATTCTAGAGACAGATCTTTTTGAAAAGAACAGAAGATGAAGATTAATTTATCAATAGGTCAAAAGAAATCAAGCTGGATTCATAACTCCAGCCCTACTTTTAAAGCGATGCCCTCTAGTGGACTAAAAAGAAATGACATTTTCATGTTAATAGATTTACCACTTGAAAGTCAGGGGGAGTGTAGCTATAACTGTTCCTGTTTGTTTATTTTAATTAAAATAACATAGATCAGTATTCTGCACTTCTTATAGTAATGCAAAGAATTTATTAGACAAGCAACTTATTTCTAACAACAAAATATGTTAACTATGTAGTTCTATTTTAAAAGTTCCTAAGTGTACTGTATTTTCCTTCTACAAAAATTAATTCAAATGGCTTATGAAAATTTGATAAGTTCCAGACAAAAGTGACCTCTTTATTAGTTTAATAACACTTATTTGAGGATGTTATTATGATGTTTTATTCTTTTTTTTTTCTTTTTGGGTCACACCTGGCGATGCTCAGGAAGGGGTTACTCTTGGCTTTGCACTCAGGAATCACTTCTGGCAGTGCTCAAGGGACCATATGGGATGCTGGTAATCGAACCCGGGTCAGCCGCATGCAAGGCAAACAACCTACCCGCTGTGCTATCGCTGTAGCCCCTGTTTTATTCTTTTCAAATTATTCTCAGTTTAACTGTAAATGTTAGGGATTTTTCGTCATGGTCTGAGGGTGTTGTGATGAAGTGTGTTTGCATATAATTTAATATACTCAATATACTGTCAATGATCACACTTAAAATTCTCCCCTCAATTTTACTTACTTCAATTTCTTGCTTATTCTGATTCATTTCAGTCTTAGTAAGATTTATTTCTACATGTGGAAGAAATATATTAAAATTTTATAATTATTTGAAAAAGCAATTTTAGTTTTATACCAATGAGTTCTTAAGCATTTAATTTTGGTTGATTGATATTGACTGTATAATTGACAAACCCAGTAATCAAAACAAATTATAATGTTCTTATAATGAAGGTAAGTGGTGATAATCAGATATATGATTAAAATTCTTCCTTGGTTTATAAATAAAGCTAACATACCTATGTTTTGGCCTCTTTAGAAATCAAAGAAAATTCTTAAATTTTAATTTAATGAGAATCGAGGAATATTTCTAATGCTACTTTACATTGCATTATACAGTTTTTTTTAAAGCTAAATAGTTACCTTCTAAGGTATTTTGGAGATTAGATTACTTTCCTTACAATAGTCCTTTGTTGTAGACACATTAAAACTTCAAAAGATTTTATTATAATTTTTATAGATTTGATATTGAAGAACATTGGAAGTAAGATTTCAGTGTGAGAGAGAAAACAATTTTAGCTTTAAAGGAAAAGACGGAAGAGGATTTTACTTAACTATTGTTTCCTTCTCAGTAGAATCGCTGTGTTTTGGCCATTTGAGGTTAGTCATTTACTGGAAAAATGAAAGTTACTTCTCCAAATAAATTTCCTATTATTTCATCAATATATTGAAGTAGCAAACAAAGATATTAATTGTAATGGAATAAAAATTTTAAGGCTAGGGGCTGGAACAATGGTACAGTGGGTAGGGCGTTTGCCTTGCATGTGGCCAACCCGGGTTTGATTCCCAGAATCCCATATGGTCCCTCGAGCACCACCAGGAATAGTTCTTGAGTGCAGAGCCAGGAGTAAGCCCTCTGTATTGCCATGTGCGACCCCACCCCCAAAAGCAAATATATATATATATATATATATATATATATACACAATATATGTATAATATATAAGGCTAGGGGCCAGAGATTTTGCTCAGTGATTTGGTTGAACCCCAAGTTTGACCCCCTGTAGTACCCCACATACAAAGTAGGATCCAACAACACTGCCATTGGAATTCTCCATTCACAGTAGGTGTGTTTGCTCCATGGACCAAACCATGTATGTAGGCACAGTGGCTAAACTTGTGTTCCTTAGTCACCTCACCCCAACAACAGTGAAAGGGAAGGAATGTATGGGAAACAATTTCAGGACTTTTTGATTAGTACAATTGCAAATGCTCATCAAATAAAAAAAACAAAGATCAGACTTCTAATGCCCTGAGTGGTAGATGATCAAAAGACTTGTCTACTAGCTCATAGGTCAGAAAGAGCAAGAATTCTGGCCTCTCCCCTCCTCACCTCCATCTACTACCTCTATATTTTTCCCACCTCCATATTTTTTTTTAAATTGAGTCAACCTATCTTACAAGTCCATTCATTAAAAAGATAATAATGAATCACTTAGAAACTTAGAAACTTTTGTTATTACATTGAAACTTTTGTTATTACATTGTTACTACATTGCACTGATTTTACATTGTTATTACATTGCACTGATCTGGGTACCCATTCCTCTTCCAGTGCCCATTCTCTACCACCAATGTTCCCAATGTCCCTCCCACACACACCCCCCCCACCTCTGTGTCAGGCACATTCCCTTTTCTCTCTCTTCTTTTGGGCGTATGGTTTGCAATACAGGTATTAAGTAGCCATATTGTTTGGTCCATAGTCTACTTTCAGCAGGCATCCTCGGTCCTGAGCCAGCCCTCTAAGCATCCTTTACTTGGTGGTCCCTTCCCTATCTATTCTTGGGTGTTAGTCTCCCATTATGTATCTTTCTATTCCACAAATGAGTGCAGACATTCTATAAGACCATTCAATTTAGGAACACTTTTAAGCTACCGAGAGTATCTCATCCACACAGCAAAGCCTGGCAAGCTATCCGTGAGGTATTCGATATACCAAGCAAAGTAACAAGTTTCACAATGTTACTGGGCCCGCTTGAGCAAAATCGATAAACAACGGGAGGACAGTGACAGTGATAGTGACCATATTCATTACCTTATTCACCACCAGTTTCTTGCCACCACAGTCCACTGGCCCTCCTTTCCCCCATAAGATACACTTCTTCCTGCTCCTTCTAGTAATTGCAGTTCTAGGTTCCCTTGAAGAATTTGCTCTCCTTTGGCTGTATCTTTCTTTGTGTTGCTTCACTATATCCTACCTATGAGTTACGTTATGTCGTTCTATCTTTGTTCTTTTTTCCTCTGATTTATTTCCCTTGGCATGAACCCTGCTAGTTCCGTCTCTATGTTGCAAAAAGATAATCTTGTATATAACTAAGTGGAATAGCATTGTGTAAATCGTCCACATCTTAACCTGAATTACTTACTGGACACTTAGGTTGTTTACATATCTTTTCAGTTTTAAGTGGTGCTATAATGAGCGTGCATGTGTATGTAATTGTTTTGGATCTGTGTTTTTGTTCTTCAGATACTTGTGAGTTGAATCACTCTGTGTTTTCATAGATAAAGTTTTAGGATGTTGAGATATCTCCATACTCTTTTTCCTAGAATCTGGACTATTTTATATTCCTATAAATGAGGGTATGTTTTCTTCCACATTCCTGCCAGCTCTTGTTTTTTGCATTTTTGAATAGAGGCCATTTTTATAAGATTGAGGTATTTCATTGGTGTTTTGTTTTGCACTTACCTGATAATAAGTGATATTAAAATTTTTCATCCTCCTGCTGGCATCTGTATATCTTCTTTGGTGAGTTGTCTATTCCTTTGGTCTATCTATTGATGGGTGTGTTTCTCTCTGTTGTTGACTTTTATGAGAACATTATTTATCTTGGATAATAGCACTTTGTAAAATGTATGATTTGTATTATTTTCTTCAACTTAATAGGTTTTTCTGTTCCAATAATAATTTCTATTTTTATATGCTTCTATAATTAACACCATTTTCTTCTTTCCCTTTGTTGCTGTGATTGTTGAGCAGTGGTCATACATGTTTGTTTGTGGTGATCCCACAATTTTATGGTGCTTGCACATTTCAGTTGTAAGTGCTTTCCAGGGATTGTGTCTTTTAATTATGATGTTCGTATAGATTTTGGTTGTAGTACTCAAAGACCATTACACACTTGGTTGCAGTATTCACGGACTCTTCCTTATGGTATACCGAGACTACGCACTTGCAATTCCAGAAATCTTAAATAGTAACATTGCCAGGGTCATGTGGGGGAAGTGCTGGGGATAGACCTCATGGT